TTTTTTTTTTTTTTTTTTTTTTTTTTTAAGTTTTAAGGGATGAACAAATAACACAATTATCGCTTGTTTTGGTTTGAAATTTTAGATGAGTTGTTGATATTGTTACAACTGAAAACTGCAATTTTTTTAGTCTTATCTGTTTAAAAAATTGTTTTTTTTCTTTCGTTTTTTCTTGCTTCTGTACATTGTCATTAATGCAAAGTATCATACAGAATATTTTTGTAATTATTCATTTTTCTTAAGCAATAAATTCAACAAGGTAATGCAAATTTGATAAATTGTAACTGGTGAGCCTTAATCAGAGTTTAGTTATTGTTACTGTTTGTTCTATTTTTTTCTGGTCTAATTATATTATGACCGTATACTTCGACGTAGTGTTTTAACACCGATTTAATGATCTACTATTGTATCGTGCACACAATTGATTCCTTGGATTTTGTACTCAAAACTTGCACAGTTATGTAGGTTCATAATTTTAGGGGGTAAAACAGCTCACAGTTTAGGTTAGGCCTGATCGCGGTTACCAGTCGTTTTAGAGTTTTACTAGCTTATTAGGGAGCTGTGCAACTAATGCCGTCGAAATCTGCAGATCAGGTGGTACTTGAAAGGCGTCTAAGGCCAATTTACGGTTGGTTTCTGTAAATCTATCATGATTATTTTTATGTTTAGGTCGGGCAGGATTCCTGCCGCTTTTGTGGGGTGCATAATTTTTTGTAAAGGTCAAAGATGAAAACTCTGGTAAGAAACTTCTCATCCGTTCATAATTTAATGAGCTTCTTTAGTCATCAAGTGGTGGTGACGGTTTATTATAATGTTCGAATTTGGAACTGTTCATTGCTGGGTAGTTTTTTCAATGCCTGTTCAGAAATTTGTGTTATTTCAGCAGCTATTGATTCCTGGAACAATCGTAAAGCTATTCAGGAGGCAGATAAAGTACTTAAAAAACATCCTCTCACGCACTGTGCAAAGGTTTGTAGCAGCAGATTTTTAATTTAAATACTCTATGAAAATATCTTACAAAACTTTCAATTTCTCACAACATTCTGGTTTACCGGCTAATATAAAATTAATGCGATTAAGCCGTGAAAAAACATTGACATAAATAGTTGTATTTGGGGATTAATTAGGTGTTGTAACTAAATTATCTTTTTTTCTTGCTCTTTTTTTTCTTTGTCTAAAATC